TTAGATCTATTAATTAATCTAATAACAACACACACTGAAGGATTCACTGCGTCTGAACCACTGAAAGGGTTTCTATGTCAAACAGCAGAACGAGCCAATTAGCACAGCGAAGGAGAGCAGATCACAAAACAGAGGGGGTCCTTCGACTAATACAAATAAATATATTTACTTCGAGGTAAAGGCTCGTCTCTACTGGCAGCTCTTACATAAAGGCCCAGTTCTCTTCCCCTCGTTTTCTTTTTTGGTTGAATGACAACTTTAGATAAAATACAACATATCGTGCTTTGTCTGGGATAGAAAGATTTTAGAGCGCGTTCACGTCAGTTTTGTTGAGTTGGTTCGGTCGGTTACATGAATGCTGGATTGGGTTCGTTAGGGTTGGTGTAAACGACAGACTCAAACTCTGGTGCGGATCAAACAGCCGCTGTCTGGTCCGTCTTGAGGGGGTCGTCTCGTACCGCTGTCGAGTGACGCCCAGAGCGGTTCATTTCTGGTGTGAACACCACTCGAACCAATCACAGGAAGTGTACCAATTTATGTGTTCATTTCAAAAACGTTTTTATTTTCCCGTTTTGATGACTGGTACCCGAACAAGTAGCCGTTTTGCGTGTCTGCTAGCAAATGTCGGGTGGCAGGCGAGAAAACTGGATCCACAACAAAGTGAGATGGCTCCTTAATATATGAGCTCAGGAGAACTTTTCTCAATTACTCAAGAACTGTTGAGCATTGTCGTGTGAAAGTTCAAAAACTGCATCAACAGTTCATCAAAAGATGCAAAGCTGTGCCCAAAAGTGGTAACGTGTTTAGGACAAATTAGGCAACCTGTTTTGTCAGTGTGACGCTCGTATCAGGTATGATGAGTTAATATGTTACTGTGTTTACAGCGGAACCCACAGATGGCACCAAACTGTATGTAGAGCTGAAGATAGCTTCCTTTAGTGACCTACTACTTTGCCTAAATGGGCGGGACATTTTTTTATTAACAATTAAACCCAGACGTGAAGTTTTTAAAGATTATTTCAAAGATAAAATCATGGAGCGACGACTCATCTTTGTTCCAAACACTTGATGAGACATTTTCCTTTTTTTTCAAACCACACGATTTTTCCTCCATTGTATGAATATCACAGCGATCTTCTCATGTAACAAGCCATTATGCACGAAACGCTCATCAAATGCGAAAAGGGGCCTGCATCCGATTCCTGAAGATATGGTGATTAAATCATGTATAATGCATGTGCACCACAATGATCTCCATAATGAGCACAGAGGCCTCGTTCTCCGCCGAGGACGAGGTAATGATGGAGAGTTCAACCAGTGAGGTCGCCATGGTGATAAAGGAGTAGCTGGTGCTGGACCAGGGATGAACAGAGGCCCGACTCACCTGCATCCCCCAAACTGAGAAGACTCAGCGGAGAGGGAGGGGAGAGATGAGGGAGGGGAGGTGTGAGAGGGATAATAAGTACGATCACATGCACTAAAGAAACGAGGCTACTATGAGGACTCGGGCTATGTTTTTAAGTTCATTAATGATACATGCTGCTGCAGCTTGAAGAGGTATCACAGTGAGAGAGTTCAAATGGGTAATACTGTACAAGGCTTTTCTTAAATCAAGCTACATTACAACTTACATTGTTGTCCTATATAGTAGACGTCCATACACTACTTACTGCGTGAAGTGTTGGGAAATGCACAGAAACCAACAAACCCACAGCTTCTTCTACTAAAAAGCTCTAGAATGTAGGGGCTTGGGAAGTCCTAAAATAGTACAGATTGTGCAAAAAGTCAAAAACAAATTACTGCCTGCAAGCCGACAAGAGAGGAATATGCATGTCGGAGAAACAAAAGGTCAGAACTAACACGCAGAAATCTTTATATCTCAGCTGAAGGGATGAATTTGCCTCTCACCCTGGACAAAAACTGTTCATGCCCCTTCCATCTGGCAGGAGGCTGAGGTCCATCAGGACCAAGACCTCACGACACACGAACAGCTTCTTTCCATCCGCAGTCGGGCTAAATTTTAATATGTTACTTTGCACTGTGTTGATTGTTGTTGATTGTTAAATGTTATGCACCTCCCGTCATGTCAAATTCCTTGTATGTTCAACATACCATGGCAATAAACGGTTCCGATTCTGATTTATGGAACTGGTGTGTGTGCTGAGGAGCTGAAATGTGTGGCAGCATATGTGTAAGTTAAAAAAAAACACAACAATGTTTCAGGAACTCTCTTATGTAATTCTTAAAATAATGAATTCTATCACTTTTGCTGTGGACAGACGAGAGCAACGATACGTATGTCTTACAGGAGAGACGCTCTGAAACTATCCCCATATTTAAACAATTAAATACGGGGATGATATGCGTCTGGCATGAACTAACCGTTATGCTGTGCTGTTTCTTACTGCACTGTATATTTGGCGTTTCCTTAGCTATTTATGTCTTTTTTTACTTGAATGCCAAATTCGTTGAGTACAGACAACAAAAACTATTTTCTGAATTTTACAAATAACCTGCAGTTGAGCTGTGGAAAAAGACTTACTCTGATTTATTCATTCCAATTTCAGATGCAAGGACGCACCAAACAAATCATAATCTTTCCTTTCACTGCACTTGTAAAAACCCTATCGGAATCCCGGTTGAGCACATTCATGGCCAACAAAATCAGCTTCCACCAGCAAAAAAAAAAGAAATCTAGCAAACCAAGAGAGCAAGTGGGGGAAGGGAGAGAGCGAGGGAGAGAGAAACTGGAGGCGAGGCAACAGGAGAGGCAACAACAATGGGGGGGGGGAGAGAGAGAGAGAGAGAGGGATTGAGCAGTAATCAGAAGATCAGAGAGAAGTAAAGAAGCAGAGAAGAGGCAGAGTATGAAAAAGGGTTTGAACAAGGAGAGAGGAGACTACAGCAAAGCTAGAGAAGAAAATCTTCTATTCTGCCCATGAGGGGCGACTCACAATTAATCAAGTGGTTCCATTACTGCCCCCCATTATTTTTAGGATAAAGAGGCTCGTTTTTTGAAGCAAATTAAAAATGTTCAGCTTTGTGAAACGATGTGCACCATCTTCCTTCACGGGTTTCCTCTCGTTCATCCCTCTGCGCTCTCGCCATCTCTGAGAACAATACGATCAGCATGCATTATTTATTGGAAAGTACGTTTGTGTTTAAAAGTACTGTATATGCAGACGTGTGTGTGTGTGTGTGTGTGTGTGTGTGTGTGTGTGTGTGTGTGTGAGAGAGAGAGAGAATGATGTGAATGCGCGATTCAGATTCAAATGAAGGGAGGGTGTGTTCTGCGGGCACAAGTGCACGTCTATATGATTTCATCACTTTGCATGCAAATTTTAACCGATGATGGCCACAGAGACAGAGTGAGAATGGAAGACGGAGTGAGAGGGAGAGAGGGAGAGAGAGAGGAGGCCGAGAGGGATGGGACATTCAGGAAATGGATGGAGTGAGAGAGGCCGAGGGAAGAGGACAAAGATGGTGTGATGACAGAGCTGCAGGCGCTGTGTTTGTACATGCATCTGCAGGCAAATTAATCATGAGATGGTCCCTTACTCCATTAAAATGCTAATGTTGGAAAATCTAGACATTTCCATATATTTGCAATACATCCCTGAGCCCAAAGATTGTTATTATGCTAAATGCAGTCTGGGTGCTGGATGCACACTTAATATAATATGAAATCTGACCGAGACAAAGATCAAAAGTCTCTTAATAAGTAGTGAACTAAAGAGCAGACTGGATATAAGATTCTTGATATTTGTTCTCATTAAAGTAATGAGGTCTTGAATGAACACACTATTTTTTGTTATAGTTATTTTATCTGCAAGTTTTCTGATGCTTTAATTATGTTTGTGAGTATAAACTACTTTTGTAGTGCTGTGCGAAACAAGAGACCAAATCAAAACCTAAAATATTAAATTTTAAACTTATAAAGGATCAATTGGACTCACTACAGCTGTGTATCCACAACAAATGAAAACTAAATATATGATTAATTGTTTAATGTTGGTTTCAAGCTTTTGACTAATCTAGGGACAACGACCCGACTTTTTCAGTTCTGATACCGATACCTGGGCTTTGTGTATCGGTCGATACCGAGTACCGATCCGATACCAGTGTTTAATTAATAGGCTGTAAGCCTCACTGTGTGGAAGAGACTGGGATCAAATATATGAGTCACATATCAATCCAATAGACTAAACTCAGGCTCTCTTGCTCATTAGTAGAAATATACAGCTGAGCAAGTACAACCACTATCAGATAAGTAGTAGAAGAGGTCGTAGAGGTAGAATCTGAGAAGGAAACTCTTCATCCTTTATTGATCAATATTTTCACTGACACCTCTTCTGAACCAACAGTGGCCTCTGTCTACTCTGAACTCTGCAAATGATATTTTTTGCAGTAACATTTTTGGTGCCGTGTCAATGCATTAGCAGGCAGCACAACAGCAGCACTGGCAGGGAGCCTCTCCACGACAGCGGAAACACAAATATCAATGTTTTCTGTGACTGCTGCCATGATTATTATGGGAATGTCACACTGACATAAATATCCACAACCTTGCAGATTATTTGTTCGGCATTTTCAGTCCGACGGCGAAGATACAGACAGGAAACATATGGAGAGAGAGGGATGACGTGCACTAAAATGTTACGTCTCAGTTACCGTAAATATATCTGTGTCTGCGACCTTCCATTTTATAGTGTTTTCTTGCATTTTTCTACACAGAGTTTGTCATTTGAAGCAGCCATGTGAATTCTGGCTTAGTGAAGCTACACAAAACAAACATATCTCAGTCATACACATTTTTCTGAAACCAGGTTTGACGCAATACCAAAAGCTAATCTGTCTCTCCATTCAATGTGTATACTCATTCATTTTACCCTGCAGTGTTATGATATATAGTGCAAATATAACGTGCATACATAGTGATTAAATGCATCATTCCCTTTATATCCACCTCTCACTCAACACCCACTCACGCCTGCCCTCACCTAGACTGGTTGGCTTGATGAGCTCGTCCAGCATGTCGTAGAAGGGCAGCCTCTGCAGCTTGACGTCCGGGTGGACCGGGTGCAGCGTGGCCGAGCCGGACAGGTGGTGCGTCAGCCCGGTTAACTCGTGCTTCCCGGGGCCGAGCAGGGAGAGGGGCAGTAAGGCGGCGGGCGACGGGGCTCCGCCGTGGCCCTCGTACGCCAACTGCGTCATGCCGGCGGGCAGTGCGGCGCCCCCTCCCCCGACCACGCCAGCCGTGGCCGGGTGGTGCGGCCCGGGCATGGCCAGCTCTGAGTGGGAAACCATTTTGGCGGGGAAGCGTCGTCGGTAGAGCTCTTTGACCTTCATGTGCACGGCGGGGCTGCAGCCGGCCTTCAGCAGATGCAGCGCCTTGGTCAGCAGCTCGTGCTTTCGTCCGTGCTTGTTGCGCCCGGCGTATCCCAGCAGCACCTGCAGCTCCGACACCCGCAGGCTCATCACCATTTGCTGTGATGATGATGAGAAGGAGGAAGAGGAATCAAGTTCTGAGATGCCACTCATGACGGACGCAAAACTGGTATGAAGTACCAATCACGTTTACAATCGAGTTAGTTGGCAATTTATTTGAATCAATTAGTCGATTCATTACGTTGCAGCTCTACTGTTTTTAATGTGGAATGAGCAAAGATTAAAATGCATACAGTAATCTCCACCCTGTGCACACACGAGTAAATAAAAAGCATACTGTTGTGTGTGCACATCTGGAGTTAAGCTTTTATTTTACAGTATCGAAAGACCAATGATGAGGTTTCCCTTATTTACGATGGTGTTGGGGTATAAAACAATGCATGCAAACAAAAAAGCTAACAATAAATCCAACAATGTATGATAACTAAAAGTAAAAATACAAGATAACAAACATTCTAAGAAGTAGATAATATAATAGAAGTATCAAAACAGAATCAGATAAATAAACCAGGTCAAATTACAGTTAAAAACATTTAATTTTATGTCCCGTGTTATAGACGGAAATGGAAATTAAATGAAAATAAAATGATGGCTTGGTTTAGGATTTGGCCATAATTAATTTTTTCCCCTCAATAACAGTTTTAGTCGCATTCTGAGATTTCTTGGGGCATTTTTGTCCTTTGATTCCCACAGTAAGCTGAGTTTTTTACTCCTCCGCTCCACAACAGGACTGAGGGATTGTCTCCAGCCCAGGTACAGGACCGCTATGCTGGCATCACTGTTTAACAACTCTTTCAAAAACGCATAATTAAAATTATTGTTAAAACAGACAAAAAACAAAGCTATTCTGCACTCTGGAAACGAGCGGTGCAACAGGAAATGAAAAGCGTCCTGCATAGTACGGCGGCTGTGTCAGAAAACAGTTCAGTCCAGAGTCCTGTCTGTAAATTAGTGTGAATTATGCGTTCAACGCACCACACCCACAGAGCTGCAGATTTATGAGAAGCCAAAGACGGACTACTACTTTGTGTGAAGGCAGCGTTACTCTTCCTACGCCTCGGAGCTCTCACAGGGAACAGCTTAAGAAGAAGCCCTCCTGCCACTGTCAGCCTGACCACGTACCAAAATAAATGGAAGGATTGAATGTGAAATGCATAATTGGATGATTTGCAACAATATTCTGGTGTCTTCATCTGGCTCACTGCTGGTATGTCGCCTCTAATGCAATGCCAAAGTCTGCGCTGAATCGCTCCCTACATTGAGATGCCTTAGCACGGCACAGCTGGCCGTTTGCCTCACAGATGTTTAACAACTACACACACTGTAGATTTTTCCTTCTGGCAAAAAAAGCATTTCATTGCACTACAATGCATACCATGAGAACACCTTAATTTCCTTACACGTGTAAGTCGTCAGCTGGATCATCTCCTGTTTGGATAACACAGACACCACCGACACTGGGAAGCAGTGCACTCGATGCAGTGGCCTTCTGTCCGTGTTGGGAGTGATAAAAAAAACACTAGAAAGGCTTTTTCCATGCTGAACGCGAGGCTGAGGCTGAACCTCGCAGGGGGTCGTGGGATGGAGTAGCTGCAGCGTGAACATGGTGATAAAAGTGTTGCCTGCACTGACTTCAGGTTGGACCAAAACTACAGTGAGCAAGCAGCTCTTCATCTCACCAGACCAGTTGTCCAAATGTGTATGTGGATTAACCCGTTGTTGTTTTGGTCTTAGTCGACTAAGGTTTCATGCTGAACATTAATATTACACTTATAACCACATCTCTGCTAAGCACAAGATTCAAAGTGGTGCTTGTGTGTGATTCTGTGGATTAAATCGACTGATTGCCTTGTTGACAAAGACGTACGTGTGAATTGCTTTGGTCGAGGACAGTCCTACTAACTGCAGGTGAAAGTTAACAAAGAAAAGCAAAAGTAAGTTGTACCCTCAGTGAATGTTACTACTCAGCACTGCCTGCACCAGTTTAAAGGCCGTGATTAATTATCATAAGACGCCGCTGCACCAAATGCTGGAATCCCATTACTCAGCTCAGGAAATTAAAATAACAAACACAGGCCAGCTTAGATTTATATAGAGAAACACAACTGCATGTATTCTACATGCAGAGTTATTACCATTGAAGTCTGCCCTTGAGCAAGGCTCGAATTGTTTGCTGCAGATGACTGAGGAGAGGTTCAAAAACCTCACCTCTAAAACACAAAAAAACAAGCTATTGGCCTGAAAGGGGAAACTGTTTCGACCTAAAATTTCACCAGAATTGAATCGTCAATCGTCGTTTAATGGTGAAGACAAAGGAAGCACAACTGCCTTGAACTTAAAGAGTCGGGATTGAGAGGCTTTGCTGTTTGAAATAATCAGCTACCGACAATCGTAGCGTGTTTGAGGCTTCAGATATTAAACAAAGTAAGAAAAATAAACCAATCCTTAATTGTAGTGTTTTTCCTTGATTAGAACAAAGATACAGAGCAAATGGAAACAGGACAAATTAGAAAGAGCAACGCATAAGCTCCTCGTCTTAAGGTGGAGGTGGGTCAAAAACAAGAAACCTCAGCTCATTAACTAGCAGCCGGCATAAACATTCATTAACCACGTCGACAAATTATAGCTCTGAGACAGACCTCAACGTAAGCAAATCTGAAGTGCATCAGACAAATAGAGGCACGGACACATATGCATGTTGGAATCTGCGCAGTCTTTGTTGTAACGCGCGCACACACACACACACACACACACACACACACACACACACACACACACGGTAGCCTGAGAGAATGTCTTGGACAAACATCCTCCCCTCATCTCCTTTAATGACAGAGCAGGGATGAAATAAAAAAGCGCAGACGCACACAAACACACGCCCATTAAATGAGAAAGCACACAGGGCTGTTAGTGTTTCCGGCTAATCAATTATATGTACAGTTAGAATTGTTATGTACAGAATATGTGTGCTGTGGTGTCCATATAAAGGATTAAACCTTTAAGCCTTTGAGATTTTCTTGTTGTTTTTTTATAATGAGGCCGATTCCTCTTGGGCGACACTGGAGTCTTGCATTTAATTGACATTTTAAAATGACATATATGAGCGCTGTAGGCTATTTTCTGTGGCCTAAACATAGCAGCTACTTTTTAGACTTGAAAAACACAAAGATGCACCAACACTAGAGATGTTTGCACCAACACTAGAGATGTTCCGATACTACTAGCGTAGGAATAGAGCCAAGTCAATATGTTGCTTGCAATGTTGACGAGGATAGAACTGAACCTTATTCCACTGCTGTCCTACTTTGCTATATGAGCATCATTTAAATGCTCAAATATAACCAAAATCATCTTAGAGGTCCAAAACTACTTTCATTTTCAGCACCAGTGGCTCAGGTGTGAATAAAACCTCCCCCTCTAGTCCCACCACAGAACTGCACTGTTGCACTAAAACATGAACGGTACTTTTGAAAGGAACTGAAACCTCACAAGTGTTGCACGTTACTGTAACTTGTTCCACATCTAGCTTTCAGTGTCTTGCAAGCAAACCAATACGTGCATCAAGTTACATCTCCAGCACTTGAAACATAACATAAGTCACCCATGACAATACTTCTTCTTCTTCATTCATCAAACACTGAAATCAGAGACTTGTAAATACCTTTGCAGAAGACATGAGAGATGAATTACCAACAGGTATGATTAGATTGCTGGTGACAAAATGTAGAGCATCTCTCATTAATTGTCACTGATCTTTTAAGCTTCAGATAATGACATGAACGTCAGCCAGAGGAGGCTGTTCTGTGGTGATCAAAGAGAAAGAAGTCTTTCAGCCCTTTTTCAATGCAGGAACTCAGCTTTCATGTCCGCTGTTCTCCTTCCACTTTTGGTTTGAGTCGTTGGAGGACGAAGTAAATGCAAGTTCCACCTACTTTCAGACAGATTACACAAAGAAAATGAGGGATCATAATACGTGCAGTGGAACAGACAGCACAACTACGAGGTGCTGGACGCCGACTAACCAGCTTGTAGTCGCCAAGATTGCCCTTTATAAGCCTTTCTTATTTTCACATTATTGTCAATAAGCACCACTTTGTCCAGTGATGTCTATACTGTCACCACTTCACTAGCACATTAAAATAATGAGGTCAGTCCCGCAGTAACCCCTTTTTAAACAAGCTTTTTGTGAATCTTCAGTATTGTTGCAGATAAATGTTCTGTCAATCGACTGGTCGTTAAGTATTGTTCGGTTCCCGCATTGAGAGGAAACCTGAGCAAACCAAACCAGCTCCGCTCAGAGAGCAGAGGCTTCTGTTTACAGACCAAACACTGCATCTTGTGTACAGCTGTCACATATGTATAGTCTCACACACACACACACACACACACACACACACACACACACACACACACAGCTACTAACAAAGTGGCCGATATATTCAACATACAGACATATTTACCAGACGGGACAGAGACCTGTCCTCGTCCTTTGTCACTACAAACCTACATTAAAGGCACATTCAACGAGGGAAAAAGAATAAAAGGAAGTAATTGTGACGCCTCGGGGCCGAAGCACCCTGCAGTAATAAAAACACATCAGTCAAACACAGATGGCTCGTACAGCAGGAAGCTCTATCACAGGTGCAGCACGCAGGCAGCAGCTGTCTGTCTGTGGATTCCCAACATTTACAGATACTTTTTAACAGAACAATTATTCAAATAATTCAATAGTATTCAATTTTAGTATCCCCACACTTGGACAGCACACACACACAGACACACACACACACACACACACACACACACAGGCAGTGTATTGGTTGGGCCAAGAAACCCTCCTGCTGGCGACATAAACGAACAGTTCCATGAAATATGCATGCTGTAGGGAAGAGGGTGTAAAAAAAATGATGACACTGGCTGCCCACCATTTCACATACATACACACACACACACACTCATACAGACCCCCCCACACACTCTCTCTTTACAAAGCAAACACACTAAAGAGAGACAAATACACACAAACACTGGCTCAAATA